AACAACATTTATTTAGTTACTAATTTCGTCCTAAAGATTTAATCAAGAAATGGAATGACATTTAGATACATTTACATTTTTTTATTTGAATTTAATTCATCATGATCTACCAGTAAGGCCTTGTAATCTTCTGGTCTGACGCGGTGTGGAAACTATATTGACAAAGTACGTTGTTCTAATTTCACCATCAAATAATTCCATAGTTCTTCTTAACTGAGTATTTCTTCAACTTCCCACCAATTGTAAATCCTTTAATGTTTGGGTTACAGATGTGCAAAATATGAAAGGCCTGTAAACATCACTTCACTCATAAAATAAAGTCACCTGTCACAGACACCAAGTTTCTTTGTCACGTGTCAACTAGAAATGGTCCAGCCTCATGTTCTCTGATGATGTATCACACAGTAATATATGTTATTGGTATCAGTCATAATGTATGAATGAATTATCTGAATGTGATCAGTGGAACAGAAGTTTTTTCCTCAGAGAAAGAATTCCTGGTTCTCTCTCTCTCTTTCTCTCTCTCGCTCTGTGTTTGTGTTCTTTTTCCAGTTTACGCCCACCATCCAAAATATGCAGACTGGAGATTAGGTCAACATTAACCTAATCTTTAAACCAGTTTGTGAAAAATAGTATACAAATAAGGACTATCTCTTATACAGCAGTTCCAAAACTTTTTTGGCCATGCATATCCCAACCAGGTTGACGCACAAGCAACAAACTTTCTTATAAAGAAGCATCCTGAAATGACCAGAACACACATATACTGTAAGGCACACGCACACACACATATACGACCTGCATTTATGTATTAATTAAAACATCTAATTCTGGTTTAAAATTTAACAAAACAAATATTTATTTACACGTCTTCATTGTGTGGAGAAATCCCACTCAAAACACTATAAACTACCATCACATTATGTATCTCACACACCTCCCAGTGACACCTCCAAGGGGGCACGGACCACACTTTGGGAAGCCTTGTGTTAATATAAGATGTAGATGATGAAGACAAGTCTGACTGACTCAGGTTCCTCTCAAACATCTTTGTTATTAAGTACGCAAGTGTCTAATCACAAACGCTAATTCTTGATAATGGACAAGGAATTAAATCAATGAGGAAACTAATCATTAAGAAACTAGTATCAATAATAGTATCATAATCAGTCAATTCTTATCAATTTCCAACAAGTGAGTAACTACTCAAACAAATCCTTTTATTTACATTTTAGATATTGGATGATGGCTTGATTGATGGACTGTTTTGATTGCTTGCCACATCACTGTATCAGTGAGGTCAGCTGCCTCTGAAGGCGTTTACCACCCAGAAGCATTTATAAGACGCTGTTTGAGATCAAGCAGCATCCACATGAATGTGAAGACTATTTGTGAAAGTGTGTGTGTGCATGTGTGTTCATGACACTCTGACATCAGGAACTGTACAACTCAAATCCATTAAGACAATCCATTAAGACAAATCCATGATGCCGGTGATCAGCAAGAATGACGATGCTGCTGAACTCCACCAATTTCTCTTATTTTATTCTGGCTGCTTATTTTGACACCGGACTCTTCAAACACCTGATCTTCCTGTTGATTCTGTGTCTGTATGTGTTGATCATTGTCTCCAACCTGCTGTTGATTGTTGTCATCTGTATGAACAGGAGTCTACATGAACCTATGTACCTGTTCCTGTGCAGCCTGTTTGTGAATGAACTGTATGGAGCCACAGCTTTGTTTCCATTTCTACTGACTCAGGTTCTCTCTGACATTCACTCAGTTCCTCGTTCTCTCTGTTTCCTGCAGATCTTCTGTCTTTACTCTTATGCCAGCAATGAATTGTTTAACTTAGCTGTCATGTCCTACGACCGTTACCATGCTATATGTTTCCCTCTGCAGTACAACACACACATGACATTTAAGAAAGTGGCTACACTCACTGCTTCTGCCTGGTTCCCTGCTGTCTTTTTACCCTCTGTCACGATCGTCCTGAGTTCATCTCTGCAGCTGTGTGGAAACATCATCAACAAAGTCTACTGTGACAACTACCACATTGTCAGATTGTCCTGTGGAGACATAACGGCAAACAACATCTATGGTCTGTTTGCCACAACCCTAACAATCTTGGTTCCTCTGATCCTGATCCTCTTCACCTATGTGAGGATTTTTAAAGTCTGTTTCTCTGGCAGTAAACAGACCAGACAGAAGGCTCTCAGCACCTGCTCTCCTCACCTGGCCTCACTCATCAACTTCTCCTGTGGGGCTTTCTGTGAAGTTGTCCAGAGCAGGTATGACATGAGCAACATCCCTAATTTTCTGAGAGTTATTTTGTCTTTATATTTTCTGGCCTGTCAGCCACTGTTCAACCCCGTGATGTATGGACTCAACCTGTCCAAAATACGACATTTCTGTAAAAATCTCTTCTTTTCTAGAGACTAGATGATTGGATTTGTTCTGTCTGAATGTAAAAAAAAATGACATACCTTTAACGCCTGTTCCCAAAATAAATAAAACAGATGTCATGTGATACATTCACAATGCTGCACAAAAGGGATGGTTAAAGTTTTCACTGAAAAAAATGTCTAAACACAAAAGATAAGGCCGAACCAGAAACACAGAGGAAAACCTGTGTTTTCTCCTACTTTTACCTTAATATTCATCCAACCACTTATTGAATGACATTGTGTGACATCAAATTCTTATAATAATATATGACAAAAAATGTATGTGTTCCACAAAACTATAACTCAAAATGTATCTTCACAGGTTGATTCTAGTTACTGTGCATCAACAACTATTGATCAGGAGGACGTGTTACTGTGGTTCGTCACTGTCCAGTAGTGTACATACATAATAACTGTTAATATGAAGCTATAAAAAGTCGAGTTCAGAGCAGATGAACAAAACACATGTAATAACTTTGTGGAATGCCATCCATCCATCCCTCTTCGTCCACTTATCCGTTACCGGGTCGCGGGGGTAGCATCCACTCCAATCACACTGCACAGTAGCAGCCCCTGGTGAACCTTCCTGCAGGTGGTGAGTCCACTGGAAGGCGCCAATCGCCCTAACTGGGATTCGATCTTATCAGGGGGTGAACCCTGGGGTTCTACACCAAGGATAGAGACATTGTGTCTGGGCCAAAGCGCCACAACTTTGTGGAATTTTTTTTTAAACTAATATTAGTACTAGTACTAGTACTGGGCCGCAGTAGGACACAGTGTAATAATGTACTTAATTTTTACTAATTTACTTCATTCAAAGAAAATCCAGAAAATCCACCATATCCATTTACTTTCTTTATTTAAAGGTAATCTGGTAATATTTTAAATAAAAGTCATTCAGACTCTGATATAAACAGAATAGAGTCTGGAAGATGTTTTATTTTGAAAATGTAATGATCCTTCAATGCTCAGCACCTTGGTACTGCTTGGTTGGTACCATCGATACTAGCTGACCAGTCCTTGGAACCAAAAAGGCCAGGGACCACTGGTATGGATGTAACTACTCCATAACAGACTAATACGTCTTTCTGCAATTGATTATTATTTATTTAAGCTATAAATATTGTTCATTGCTGTGTAAAAAAAAACAAAAAAACGTTTAATTTCATAGGTGAAGAAATGCTGCTGCATGGACTTTACTAAATGCTTTTTAAGGTCCCGTGGGCGACACAAAACAGCTTGGCGGGCCACATTTGGCCCCCAGGCCTTGAGTTTGACACATATGGACTAGAGCATCGGTCAACATCACTGTATTTAACATCTGTGCCAACAGTTGCGCCCCACTCAACATTTATATGTATACATGCCAATTAAAAGCACCACCAATTGGCAAAAAGTAAGTAACCCTGCCTAACAAAACGCCCCTCCTTTTCTGTAAAATGTCAGCTGTTGATCTTGAAAAAAAACTCAGGACTATCTACCACCCCCAGTGGGCATTAAAAGCAACTGCTACTTCCGTTACACCGAGATACAATGACTAGAACTCTTCAGTCAAAAACACTGTACTTTCATTAGCCATCTCACAATTTGCAGCTGAAAAACACAACGGTCTGCCACTCACCAGCCACATGCTGCTAAACCACTGCCCCTACGGCCATGTCAGATGCATCAGTTGCCAAAGCTATAGAGGTTGTGCACGCAGGATGTGAGAGGAGTGCTGCAATAGCAAGGGCAGACCCAGATCTATCAAAGACCAGAGTCGCCAAATCCATCCAGGACTCGGTCTATGGCCTTAATAGAGACGACACAGGGAATTTCCAGAAAGGTATCAAACTAATTTTAGAGGACTGTTCCCTACGCCAAAATTCAGTGACACAAGGAGCTGATCATCTGCTGTTAAAACTGGTACGCGTTGCCAAGTAGGCCCAGATCGTCACGGTGCCTGAAAACCCGGTCCAGGTATGACAGGTGCTCCTCAGCTGAGGGACTGGCCAGCAAAATGTCATCCAAATTAACAAACAAAAATAAGTAACCCTGCCAGACAAACCTTTCTTTTCTGTAAAATGGTGTCCATTTGGCTCCCTATAGTGGCATACAGGGGAAACTGACTCTCACTTAGTTGTTGAATGCAGCTGTTATGCATTTTTGGCTTGGCGTGTGTGTGTGTGTAACAAATCCAAAAAAGGGTGAAAAGTATGAATGTGTACTACTAACATGAACATAAACTCTGTGTATATTAGAAGAATATATTGTAGTGTGATGCTATAGATTTGAGATATATGTCAGAGGGCACTGCTCAAGTGAAACAAATCAACCCCCACCACCATCATTACATAATCAATGACCTACTAAAAAAACAATGGAACATTAATTTCCTTTCACACTAATAAAAACAAAAACACATCCTTCATCATGTGACTACTGACGAAGTCAGTGGGTGTTCTCCAGTCAACATTTAAAGGGAGAGAATTCAGGTCCAACAGAAAAACTTAAAACAATGTCATCAACACATCATCTTTGGTTGGAGGTAATAGATGTATGTGCTTCATGCGTGTGTCTCATACACACACCAAGTCTCCCTAAGTGAAGTTTGGACCAATGTGACGCTGTGAGGACAATGAAGACAAACTCCACCAATTTCTCTTATTTTATTCTGGCTGCTTATTTTGACACCGGACTCTTCAAACACCTGATCTTCCTGTTGATTCTGTGTCTGTATGTGTTGATCATTGTCTCCAACCTGCTGTTGATTGTTGTCATCTGTATGAACAGGAGTCTACATGAACCTATGTACCTGTTCCTGTGCAGCCTGTTTGTGAATGAACTGTATGGAGCCACAGCTTTGTTTCCACTCTTACTGATCCAGGTTCTCTCTGACATTCACTCTGTTCCTGTCCCTCTGTGCTTGCTGCAGGTTTTTTCCATTTATTCTTACACAGGTGTTGAGTTTTTTAACTTAGCTGCCATGTCTTACGACCGGTACCAGGCCATATGTTACCCTCTGCAGTACAACACACACATGAGCTTGAAAAAAGTGGCTGTGTTCATCACTGTGTCCTGGTTACTGGCCTTTCTGATTGTGTTTGGCACAACGTTCCTGAGCTCTTCACTACAGCTGTGTGGAAACACGATTGATACTGTGTACTGCATTAACTACTCTATAGTGAAACAGTCATGTGGTGACATCAGCGTGAACAACATCTATGGTCTGTTTGTGACTGCCTTTGCTGTTTTTGTTCCATTAACAATGATCCTCTTCACCTATGTGAGGATTTTTAAAGTCTGTTTCTCTGGCAGTAAACAGACCAGACAGAAGGCTCTCAGCACCTGCTCTCCTCACCTGGCCTCACTCATCAACTTCTCCTTTGGAGTTTGTTTTGAAGTGTTACAGAGCAGGTTTGACATGAGCAACGTCCCTAATATTCTGAGAATTGTTTTATCTTTGTACTTCCTCACCTGTCAGCCACTGTTCAACCCTGTGATGTACGGACTCAAACTGTCCAAAATACGATGCTTCTGTAAAAGCCTTTTTTATAATCTTTCTCTTAATTAAAATAGGTTCAGTCTGATATATGTGTTTATGAATATACTGTGTATAAAACAGCATGTTGTGTTTTACAGAAGAAATTGATACGTGGTAGCCCATGAATGAATGAAGAAAAACTTGCTGTAATGCTGTAATGTTTATAAGCTGGACTTTCTAATACAGTTAAAATGATTATGATTTACTACAGTGTTAGAGTAAAATACCACAGTAATATACAAATGGATATATCATGAATGTATGTTTTGCAGTAGTTTAAAGGGATAATGTAGGTTTTATGAAAATGACGTGGAAGCAGTAGAGTACTACAGAGTACTACTGCACCTGAAGACATGGGTGTCAGGGCAGGAATAAGATGTATTTAAACTTTGATACTGGTTTCATATTCCTGCTACACTCTAACAAGGAGGCAAGTGTGTAAGTTAACTTAATTATTCACTGGGGGGAAGTAACATCACACTTATCAGACGGACAAACTACAACAAGTCATTTATGAGACAGATGGTCAGTGGGACAATGAACACTTGTACCTGTTTGTCCCTCCCTTTGGTATACAAAGTCAGTTGGCAGCACATTGTAATCGGGTGTGGAGGCTGTCGAGGGGGCCGTGGCTCTAAAAAAAAGATCCAGTCTCACCTGTGGCGCTGGCTTTACATTGAAGCAGATTCTTTGGTAATATTGACACTCACTTTCAGGAGAACTTCAGAAGCTCTGCTCTCCCTTTTCAACCACAAAACTATTAAAATCACCCCTAACTGACTGGTCCAATATAATATTGATTATATAATTATATCCTTTAATAAATGTGTCTCCACTTGATCAACTAATGGCCTGAAAATATAAAGTAATCAGAATATATTCATATTTTGTTTTTTATTCTATTGTGGTCCATACTTGTTTTGGATAAGGGGTAGGGTTATCAGAGTCAGTTTTAAAGATGGTTTCTTATTGGCAACAACATCAGTGACATCAGTGTGCTGACTGGAGCTAAAGCTGTGGGCGGTCACAGATGAAGACTTTTAAGAAGTTCAACAATTTCACAACAGACATAGATGTTCACACAATGTCCTGAACACATCACTGTGACTGTGACTGTGCGGTAAGAGGTGAGCTTCTGTGTGGTTTTCACACACTCATTACCTGACATACGTGTATATTCTGAGGCAAGTAAAGTATTCAGCAGTGATTATGATGATTTCATTGAACTCCTCCTACTTTTCTCACTTCATTCTTGCTGGGTACCTAGACATCAGATTTAAACACCTGATCTTTTTCATTGTCCTCCTTTATTACGTGTTGATCATTGTCTCCAACCTGCTGTTGATTGTTGTCATCTGTATGAACAGGAGTCTACATGAACCTATGTACCTGTTCCTGTGCAGCCTGTTTGTTAATGAACTGTATGGAGCCACAGCTTTGTTTCCATTTCTACTGACTCAGGTTCTCTCTGACATTCACTCTGTTCCTCGTTCTCTCTGTTTCCTGCAGATCTTCTGTCTTTACTCTTATGCCAGCAATGAATTGTTTAACTTAGCTGTCATATCCTATGACCGTTACCTGGCTATATGTTTCCCTCTGCAGTACAACACACACATGACATTTAAGAAAGTGGCTACACTCACTGCTTCTGCCTGGTTCCCTGCTGTCTTTTTCACCTCTGTCATGATCGTCCTGAGTTCATCTCTGCAGCTGTGTGGAAACATCATCAACAAAGTCTACTGTGACAACTACCACATTGTCAGATTGTCCTGTGGAGACATAACGGCAAACAACATCTATGGTCTGTTTGCCACAACCCTAACAATCTTGGTTCCTCTGATCCTGATCCTCTTCACCTATGTGAGGATTTTTAAAGTCTGTTTCTCTGGCAGTAAACAGACCAGACAGAAGGCTCTCAGCACCTGCTCTCCTCACCTGGCCTCACTCATCAACTTCTCCTTTGGAGTTTGTTTTGAAATAGTTCAGAGCAGGTTTGACATGAGCAACGTCCCTAATATTCTGAGAGTTTTTTTATCTTTATATTTTATGGCCTGTCAGCCACTGTTCAACCCTGTGATATATGGACTCAACCTGTCCAAAATACGACATTTCTGTAAAAATCTCTTCTTTTCTAGAGACTAGATGATTGGATTTGTTCTGTCTGAATGTAAATAAATGGATATACCTTTGATGCCTATTCCCAAAATAAATAAAACAGATGTCATGTGATACATTCACGATGCTGCACTAAAGGGATGGTTAAAAGTTTCACTGAAAAAAATGTCTAAACACAAAAGACAAGGCCGAACCAGAAACAAAACCTGTGTTTTCTCCTACATTTACCTTAATATCCATCCAACCGGACAATCCTCTTATGGAATCTGTGACAACCTTTTTTTTTTTTAAATACTTCAACATTAGATTTTCTTCATTTAACGATTTACGGATGTTCACTCACTTTGTTTGCAGCACAGGGAGGTTGGTGGTGCTAGGCTTTCACGATGACAACTTTAAAAGACAAAAGTGTTTTTTAGAGCTGTCAAATGATGAACATTTATTATTTTATCTTTTATAAAGCGGTTTGTTTCCGTTGAGTCAATAGACACTGTTGTCAGTCGCAGCGCGTGCAAAAACCTGCCGACCACTGGGAGCAGAACGTCCGGCATAATCCCCGCCGGCTCCCCACGACAGAACAGAACAAAATGCACCTGCACATTATACCATGGTGCCTTCAAGGCACCCAGGAAAATGGAGAAACTGTAGAACGCAGAAGAGTCAAAATAATCGTGATTATGATTTTTGCCATAATCGAGTAGCCCTAGGTTCTAGAACAGAGACTACACAGGGAAATTCCACAAATTAATCAGACTAACTTTAGAGGGCCAAAGAACTGTTCCCTACGACAAAATGCAGGGACATAAGAAGTTGATCATCTGCTGTCAAAACTGGTACAGTTTGACAATTAGGCCCAGATTGTCAAGGTGCCTGAAAACCTGGTTTAGGTATGACAGGGGCTCCTCAGCTGACTGAGTTCATTAACATCTAAAAGGTTTGTGCTGTCCCCTTCTAGCGTTACAAAAATAACTATGCTGCCAGTGTTGGGTGACACCTAAGTGGTTGAAGAATATCTATAGATCATAGTATATCTAGTTAACCTTTTAATGCAAAAGAGATTTGGTGGTTAAGGGTTAGATCAACTGTAGTTGTGAGCGTTCACCAACAGGGAATCGTTTAAAAGAAGACGTTTCACTTGAGATGAAGACATTTACATCATGTCATCAACCAATGAGGTAAGACGTGTGTGTGTGTCAGGTGTTGATGTTTTTTGATTCACCACTCAGCACCTGACATTGTATGAGGTCTGGATGAGTTTAACAGAGTCAGTGATGTGATGTCATTGGTCAGTGAAGGTGAGGTGATGCTGCTGAACTCCACCAATTTCTCTTATTTTATTCTGGCTGCTTATTCTGACACCAGACATTTCAAACACCTGATCTTCCTGTTGATTCTGTGTCTGTATGTATTGATCATTGTCTCCAACCTGCTGTTGATTGTTGTCATCTGTATGAACAGGAGTCTACATGAACCTATGTACCTGTTCCTGTGCAGCCTGTTTGTTGGTGAACTATGGGGAAGCACAGGTTTGTTTCCACTCCTTCTGATCCAGGTTCTCTCTGACATTCACTCTGTTCCTGTCCCTCTGTGCTTCCTGCAGGTTTTTTTCATTTATTCTTACGCATGTGTGGAAATTTTTAACTTAGCTGCCATGTCCTATGACCGGTACCAGGCCATATGTTACCCTCTGCAGTACAACACACACATGAGCTTTAAAAAAGTGGCTGTGTTCGTCACTGTGTCCTGGTTACTGGCCTTTCTGATTGTGTTTGGCACAACGTTCCTGAGCTCTTCACTACAGCTGTGTGGAAACATCATCAATAATGTGTTATGTGTCAACTACTACATAGTGAAACAGTCATGTGGTGACATCAGCGTGAACAACATCTATGGTCTGTTTGCCACATTTTTAACGATCTTGGTTCCTCTGTCTCTGATCCTCTTCACCTATGTGAGGATTTTTAAAGTCTGTTTCTCTGGCAGTAAACAGACCAGACAGAAGGCTCTCAGCACCTGCTCTCCTCACCTGGCCTCACTCATCAACTTCTCCTTTGGAGTTTGTTTTGAAATAGTTCAGAGCAGGTTTGACATGAGCAACGTCCCTAAAATTCTGAGAATTTTTTTATCTTTGTACTTCCTAACCTGTCAGCCACTGTTCAACCCTATGATGTACGGACTCAAACTGTCCAAAATACGACAGCTGTGTAAAAATTATTTTCTGACATGTAGGAAGTTCCTGTGTTCAGTTTGAATTAATGATTAAAAATCAAATGTTTATGGCAGGTTTGACACAAACAGCTCCTAAAGTTTCTGAGAATATTGATATCTCTATAGTCTCTCACCTGTCAGCCACTGTTCAACTGTGAAGGTAAATTTAAAATCATTGTTCTTACTAGTTCCTAGGTGTCCTAGGGGCTGTTAATATAAGATGTCCATAAACAGAATTTGAGATTATTGCTCAGATGTCTTATTAAACAAATTCCACTAATGTCTAATATATCTGTAACTGTCTTCAAGACTTCAAGACCACACATGACTGATTTAAGATTGTGTTCCCGCTTGATATCATTATGATTATAATTACTTAATGTTACCACTACTAATAATAATAACATCACTGCTACTAGCACTTCTACGATTGCTACCATTGTTATTATTATTATTAATAATAATAAAAAAATCATCACAATAAGGACTGACTAAAATACACCAGCTCTATGTAGATACGTGTGTGTGTTTGTGTGTGTGTTCTACATCAGAGACGTTTGTTTAAACTTAGTCAATCACCAAAAATAGAAAAGATAATATTGTAGCAGGATCAGGAAAAACACAGGAGTAGGGTTGAATGATATTAACTAAAATTCAAATCATGATTTTATGCTGAATGGCGATACTCGATATTTACTGATATTTCTTCTGTTACATAATCTGGGCGTCCTCTTAAGCATTGTGGCATACTGGATTCATTTTGTCCAGATGCATATCCTTAAAAAGGAAAGAATGTTTAAGCCACATGCCAAACGTCACACAGGTAGCCTTATTACAGAGGTCACCCTGTATAATATCAAAATGAAAAAAATGAATGAATTATAAAAACTGTCTAATGTATGAAATAAAAATGCTCCTTGAATAAAGTAAAACAATTATCTTTCCTGCATGACAAAAATATACAGTAATTGGTCCAAACACTGTTTCAGTGCCTTAAATGTTGAGATCATCATATTTCCGATGGTACCTGAACATCCCTCATTGAGAACACATTTTACAATGTAATAAAATTATTACATAAGTTTTTCCAACACTGTTTCTATTTATTTTATATTTAAAACGACCAAAACATAAAAACACGTTTAACAGGTACAGCCAAGGACTTCGCCAATATAACTAGAGTTATGAAATGAAACAGGGAACCCAGTTGGAGGTGATGCCACGTTGAAACGTGCAACTCACACATAAAGAAAGATGTGTGCCTGTGCCTGTGGTTGTTGTGGAGGTGAGAGGAACCACCTCTGACCCAATGGTGGTCAATCCACCATAGTAAGCAGGAGCATAAAACCCTGCAAAGGAGGTAGGGGGCCTACACGGTCCACATACACAAGGTTGTAGCCAGAATTGGAAATGGAGTGCAACACAGGCAGGCCCACTCCTTTACATCTTTATGCAGGTCATGCCAAACGATCCTGGACCCAACAGCTCCTCTCGTCTAAACTCCGAGGTGAAAGGGAGAGGGAACTGAGTCAAAAACTCGACAATACCCACACACTAGTACAACAGAGCGGGGACGGCCTGTAGTGACATCATAGAGGAGCGAAGGCCATCTTTCTACACCACAGAATCCTCTAGCTCGGGATCCATATTACCAAACCTAAGGGCAAGGATGTCCAGATCACCAAGGTGGTCAGCAGCCATGGCCTGGAAATCCATCACAAGGTACACAGAACACAGAACCACCAGGGACAGCCAATTAGGAACAGGGACTTTCCAGCCACATGCTGAACATCTGTCATAAACTCAAAGATGGCCCCTAGGCGGCACTGTTGGCAACCAGATCATAGTTGTCACTTGGACATGGCAAGAGTCAGCCCTCCAATAGAAAACAGAAAAGGTGAGTAGTGAGACTTCAGGAGGTGCTGCGCAAGGAAGGAAACAATTATAAAAGTTAACCTTTCACAAAATGTTCTGCAATGCCATGACAGAGACTAGACAGAGTCATTCCAAAATATACTGTTGCACTCTAGATGGCAACAGGATCGTGCCAGGCGACAAAATGCAGTGACCCAAGAAGTTGATCACTGGCTGTAAAACTAATACTTCACTTGGTTGACAATCAGGCATCATCGAGATGCCTATGAGGTAACGCAACACAGAGTCCATCAAACGTTTGTGCTGCCCCCTTCAGGCAAAAGGACATGGACAAGGCTCAAACATGTAATTGCCTTAACCCTTCAATTCCAACACATGGTACACTGCCATACACACAGTAGACTGGAAGTGACGCAACAGTATGGCATCCATGCTTGTAAATTGTACTGTAAATTATCCAGTTTCCTTAACTGGAAGTCTGTACATTCCATAAAGTGTGCTTTTCAATTCACAAAGGCAAAGACTGGTCACTGAATGCAAAACAACACAAATGGAACTATATAATAAAAATAATAACAATAATAATGATAACAACAACAATAATAATAATAATAATATGTTTTTTATTTATTTCTGACAAAAGCCAAAAATAACGCAGAGGAGATTTGGTGGTTGAGGGTTAGGTCAACTCTAATTGTGAGCGTTCACCAACAGGGAATCGTTTAAAAGAAGACGTTTCACTTGAGATGAAGACATTTACATCACGTCATCAACCAATGAGGTAAGACATGTGTGTGTGCCAGGTGTTGATGTTCACTACTCGGCACCTGATATATGTATGAGGTCTGGATGAGTTTAACAGAGTCAGTGATGTGATGTCATTGGTCAGTGAAGGTGAGGTGATGCTGCTGAACTCCACCAATTTCTCTTATTTTATTCTGGCTGCTTATTTTGACACCGGACTCTTCAAACACCTGATCTTCCTGTTGATTCTGTGTCTGTATGTGTTGATCATTGTCTCCAACCTGCTGTTGATTGTTGTCATCTGTATGAACAGGAGTCTACATGAACCTATGTACCTGTTCCTGTGCAGCCTGTTTGTGAATGAACTGTATGGAGCCACAGGTTTGTTTCCATTTCTACTGACTCAGGTTCTCTCTGACATTCACTCTGTTCCTCGCACGCTCTGTTTCCTGCAGATCTACTGTGTTTATTTCTATTCTCTGAATGAGCTTTTTAATTTAACTGTCATGTCCTACGACCGTTACCATGCTATATGTTTCCCTCTGCAGTACAACACACACATGAGCTTTAAGAAAGTGGCTACACTCACTGCTTCTGCCTGGTTCCCTGCTGTCTTTTTCACCTCTGTCATGATCGTCCTGAGTTCATCTCTGCAGCTGTGTGGAAACATCATCAACAAAGTCTACTGTGACAACTACCACATTGTCAGATTGTCCTGTGGAGACATAACGGCAAACAACATCTATGGTCTGTTTGCCACAACCCTAACAATCTTGGTTCCTCTGATCCTGATCCTCTTCACCTATGTGAGGATTTTTAAAGTCTGTTTCTCTGGCAGTAAACAGACCAGACAGAAGGCTCTCAGCACCTGCTCTCCTCACCTGGCCTCACTCATCAACTTCTCCTTTGGAGTTTGTTTTGAAGTGTTACAGAGCAGGTTTGACATGAGCAACGTCCCTAATATTCTGAGAATTGTTTTATCTTTGTACTTCCTCACCTGTCAGCCACTGTTCAACCCTGTGATGTACGGACTCAAACTGTCCAAAATACGACAGCTGTGTAAACATCTGTTGTTTCCGAAAATGTAAAATTTCTCTCGCTCGCCCACTCTCTCTCTGATAGACATACATAAACATTTGTGTGTGCATAGATAAATATACTGTATGTAATATACAGTATATTTATACAGTATGTGTAAATATGTATATAATTATACATACAGTATATACATATGATTTATGAGTAAATACATAAAACACATAAATATATATAAACATAAATAAACATATATATGTGTATACATGTATAACTGTACGTTGTATATATAGATATATATAGATAGATATGAGTATCTAAACACATAAATATATATGTATTAAACCTCTTAAAATTACCAGTTCAACAGGAGAATACAGTGTTGAGCTAAATAAATTAATGAAATTACAATTAAGATTAAACAAGAGAAGTCATACATATATATATAGATAATGTTGACTCGTTGTTTAGAGGCACTTTTTTATTTGAAATGTCATCACAGCATCAAACACTTGGTCATATATATATAGATAGATAGAATATATTCTATGTTTCTTTTTCCTTTTAGAATTTTTACCAGCTAATATTCAAAATGTCATCATAATAAAATTAACTCGTAAGCCACGTACTTTACTAATACATTGAAAACTATGTTCCTTAATGAACTTTTAATATTCATCTTTTAAGACAAATGAAAATCGGTCCTCAAAGTCTGCAGTACTGGTCAAAAAAAATGCAAAATTTGTAATATCTGTTTGAATTTTGAAAAATAATACAGAAAGAAGAAACTAGAACGACTTAAAAATGATCCATTAAATAAAACACTAAAAATGTATCTGTTGTTTAATGAACTATGTTATCCCATAAGGAAGGGAAGGGACACCTTATACAAACTATTTATTATTTCTTTGAATTAAAAAAAGATTGTGTCAACATGAAACAAAAAGTACTGACTTATAATTGTATTGTCTTGGGGGAAGAGACATTTTGTAGAAAAACAGTTTTATAGGATTAGTAGCATTTTAAAATAATGCATTACAATGTGTCCATATGTGAAGGAATGACTACATTCATTACTCACTGGCCAGAGGTGTAAATGCTATTGTGAATTATTATGAATTACAAATACGGTTACAAGTCTTTCTCATGACCAACAGATGGAGACAAAGACAAATTTGTATGTGGATTTCCGGCAGCAAAAACGACCACTGACAACTTTGATTCTTCTCTTTACTTAATAAACTATCTCAACAATACTATGTCAAATGCCTCGTGAACTGAAGCAATGTTGCTTTTAATGTCTAATTAATAATATTTGGTGTAAACACACACACACACCAAAATATCTGTATATACTAGATACTTATAAAATAATTAATATTCAACAATATGACATATATACAATATACACAATTTATACGTTTAAAAAAGAGATAGAGAAAGAGAGAGAGAGTGTTAGTATATTGTTTCTTTCCACACATACCGTCGAGATTAATCTTAAAATGGCCCAAACACAGATTGAGTTCATTATTTAAACATCTTTATAATCTTCTGATGGCCAATAAAATTAGGGTGACTTGTTTAAATGAGTTTTAAAGAGATAATGAGCAGCCTCTGGTGGTCAGATCAGGTCAAAACGCTTTGTTAAAAAAGAAAAAGAAAATAGAAAAGTCAGTACTTACAGTATATGAATGTTATCTAACAGAGTCATTTATAAAATATTTTAAAATGTTGGTATAAATTTACAATTAAAGCATTACCTTAAAGTAAGTTTCAATTTATGATTTTAAATATGACCTTTAACCATATGGGAATAAAGTCCACGAGCAGGGAGCTGAGCTACGTCTGTGCTGTCAAAGCAACAAATATAACAAAGTACAATCAAATACAATAATTAAAACTTCTAACATGCAGTTGATTCATCCACGATTCGATTATGTAATTTATTTATTTAAAGATTGTTCGTTATTGCACTAATGGAAGGCTGAAAGCATCAGTAGTTAAATACTGTTGTGTGACTGTTACAGGACCTGTTTGAACCCACCGACTGTCCCACACTTCCTGAGCAGCATGTGTTTACACAGGTGACGTATTTTGGGCAGTATGAGTCCATACATCACAGGGTTGAACAGTGGCTGACAGGTGAGGAAATATGAAGACAAGAACACTCTCAGAATATTAGGGACATTGCTCATGTCAAACCTGCTTTGGAACACTTCAAAACAAACTCCAAAGGAGAAGTTGATGAGTGAGGCCAGCTGAGGAGAGCAGGTGCTGAGAGCCTTCTGTCTGCTCTGTTTACTGCCAGAGAAACAGACTTTAAAAATCTTTACGTAAGAGAAGACAATGACGGACATGGGAGCAAAGACAGTGAACAAACACGCAATCAGCTCATAAACATTATTGACCCTAGTGTCACCGCAGGACAGTTTAATGACCGTGTAATTGTCACAGTACACCTTTTCAATCACATCTCTGCAGAGGCGCAGAGACGACGTCAGACACGTCGTCACCAACACGGCTGCAGCAGGTGGAAACCATATCCCTGCAACCAGGAGGATGACTTTTCTGCGAGTCATGAGTGTGTTATACTGTAGGGGGTGACAGATGGCCAGGTAACGGTCGTACGACATGATGGCCAAGTTAGTGAACTCAACACTGCCGTAAACGTAGATGGAAAAAATCTGCAGGAAGCAGAGAGGAACATAGACCAGGTGAAGGTCAGAGAGGAGGTGGAGCAGCAGAAATGGAAACAAAGCTGTGGCTCCATACAGTTCATTCATAAACAGGCTGCACAGGAACAGGTACATAGGTTCATGTAGACTCCTGTTCATACAGATGACAACAATCAACAGCAGGTTGGAGACAATGATCAACACATACAGACAGAGGATCAACAGAAAGATGATGTAGCTAATGTGTGTGCGCTCAGAATAGGCTGCCAGAGTGATGTACAAGACCTGAGAGGAATTCACCTGTGTCTCCATCATCGCCCCCCCAGTGAACCCTCAACCTTCACAGAAAAAAACACTTTACAGGTTTATGACAGCAAAACACAGCTTTGTGTGTCTCTGCTCCGCACACACTCACCAACACTAACACACATACTGTACAGACACCTGTGTCCAGAGGACTGACCTTCTTCTCTTCTGCACCTGCTCTAAGCCAAATGTAAATGTCAAAAACACAACATTTAAGCACTATATTTAACACAAGTACATGAAGGTTAAAACTCAATAGAGAATATACAACATAAAAATAAAGTGTAATCTGTATCTAACTCTACCATGTATGTCAATACATACATGTAGCATTACACAGAATAATGAAAGCACTACAAAGAGAAATATACCAAAAAAGTACCAACTAAGAAGAAGTTCCAGGTTCCACAGGAGAACAGCCACACAGATCAACATAAATATTCAACCTCGTTTCTAAACAATATTTTTTAACAAAATAAACTTTCCTTCATTAGTTCAACCTGAGCCACATCACAACAGCTAACATCAGTAGTTGATTCACACAAAAACACAGCCACACACTCACACACTGGACCAAAGTGTCCAGGTCTTATTTTAACACCAGTCTAGAAACCAACATCCACGCCTACTGAGAAGAAGCAGTGAAGTTAAGGGTGAGAAAAGGAAGATCACATGATGCACAAGTCATGTGACCCACATGTTTATTTGCACTAAATATTTTTTGTTTTGAATAAAAAATAAAATGACATTTTTGCAAAGCCAATTATGTCCAGGTCTTGAAAACATTTTTAAAATTTACAGTGATTTTCTTTTAACGTTAGTCTGTTCCAGTGGAACTGCCCAGGGTGGCCACCTTTGCAGTAGAACATGAATGTGCTATGTTTCTTTTTATTATTAAGAGAAGAAAACTGATTTTCAAAAACACAATAACTAGAAGTATTCAGGAGGTAAAACAGTAAAACCAGGATTCACATCAGGGTTCAAAAGAAATTAGATAAATACATTAAATAACAGACTAAAATATCCACACCACTACAACACAAACAAACCAGTAAATAAAATACCAGGAGGGTTGAACCCAGTGGTGATGACGTCAGTGATCATCACTGTGTTTTATTATATCAGCAACTCTGACTCACACTGTTAACCATGTGGCTAACCTTCTGAACCATGATCTTGTTCTTGTTGTGATGACTAACATGAAGAGGATGAATTCCACCCATGTGTCTTATTTTAAATTAGCTGCATATGTGGACATTGGTCTGTTTAAATATCTGGTCTTTGTGTCTCTTCTGTGTCTGTATGTATTGATCATTGTCTCCAACCTGCTGTTGATTGTTGTCATCTGTATGAACAGGAGTCTACATGAACCTATGTACCTGTTCCTGTGCAGCCTGTTTGTGAATGAACTGTATGGAGCCACAGGTTTGTTTCCACTCTTACTCATCCAGGTTCTCTCTAATGTCCATGTTGTTTATTTTCCTTTCTGTTTCCTGCAGATCTACTGTCTGTACTCTTATGTATGTGTTGGATATTTGAATTTAACTGCCATGTCTTATGACCGCTACCATGCTATCTGTCACCCTCTGCAGTACAACACACACATGACAACTAAAAGAGTGGCCGCTCTCGTGGCTCTGACCTGGTTGTTTCCTCTTCTCACCATAGTTGTACTGATCTCCTTGACTTTACGTCTGCATCTGTGTGGAAACATTATCCACAAAGTTTACTGTGACAACTTCTCTGTGGTCAAATTGTCATGTTCTGACACCAGGATCAACAACATCTATGGACTTCTCTATACCTTGGTGAGTATTGGGATCCCTCTGGTCCTGATCTTAGTCACATATGTGAAGATTTTTAAAGTCTGTTTCTCTGGCAGTAAACAGACCAGACAGAAGGCTCTCAGCACCTGCTCTCCTCACCTGGCCTCACTCATCAACTTCTCCTTTGGAGTTTGTTTTGAAGTGTTACAGAGCAGGTTTGACATGAGCAATGTCCCTAATATTCTGAGAGTGTTCTTGTCTTCATATTTCCTCACCTGTCAGCCACTGTTCAACCCTCTGATGTACGGACTCAAACTGTCCAAGATCAGGAACATTTACCTGCGTCACAACTCAAGATAGTGTGAATAATTCAGGTCTAATTCTCAGCCAAGTTCACACTCAACCATTAAGCTAATTTCCGTCTAACGACTATTGTCACAACAATTTCTCTCACCTTTTTTTTTTTGAAAAAATATAAGTTTATCTGCTGATGCAAAACTATCAGCAGCAACTGATTCTATTTTAAAGTCAAACATCTTGGTCAGTTGTTTGGGATAATACATTTTTGCAAATTTTGCACTGAAGGAAAATGTATGACATGAGAACTATGTACTGTATGAAAGTGTTTGGTCTATCGACATCATCACATGACTATGGCTAAACTAATGATTTATTTGGAAAAAAAAACAAAAAAACAAATTAAACTGTTGAACCACCACTGTCTGAACTGATTTTTCCTTAACATTCACTATTCATAGACGCCACCACTGTTAATGTGTTCAGAAGGTCAGGCTTGTTGTTTGATAGATTTAACAAATACAGAGTTGTGTGTTAGTGTGTGTTGTAATTATTGATGAAACTTATTTTTTAACTTATAAAAAAATGAAGCCCATACCATGATAAGCAGCTGTAGGCCTATTTCAGGCAGGGTCAAAGGAAATCTGTCCTGTCTGCATTTGTAATGTGCATTATTTGTGTTTTTTCAGAAAGTGGGGACAATGTTGTGTACTACTGATACCAGAAAAGAAAATAATAATAATAATAATTGTTATTATTATTATTGAGTCCCTAATTTGTCCCACAATGGGGAAATCTACAGTGCAGATCTTTGCAACCGTCATAGGCTGCCTCATGAGGTGAGTAAGGCAGACAAAGAAAATGAAAGAAAAAACAGAAATGTTCAAACTGTGGGGAACAATTCTCCGGCCACATGCCAATCTGTCTATAATGTCCACTCAGACCACCACTGTCTCCTCTGTCTCTAATGTCCACTCAGACCACCACTGTCTCCTCTGTCTCTGTTTGGACATCTTTCTGCGCAGAAACATCATCACCACCTCTACCTTCAACATGTTTGTAATGAGAAACTAATTGCCTTGAAATTAACACTGAACTCATCACTGCCCCATAGTGGATGTATTGCTTGCAGCCAAACATAAGGCATGGGCATATGTGGACAGTGACATTTAAAACTTATAAACCCAAGAAGAAGAATACATGAGGTTTAATTACTGCAACTTCCTAAGGCCGACTCGTAATCTGTAAACTATTTTACAGTATATTTATTTACTCTGAACATGTATGTCACATACGGTACGTCATTCCCAGCTTTAGTGTTTCATATAAAACTGTCATCAGAAAACATGACGTATTCGTCCAAAATATGAACTGTATTATTTGGCAGATTCTGCTCTTTAATTGTGCATCTTGTCAGCTGTGCAGGCACAGAGGCATTAATAACATTAAGTAAAACTAAAAAAAGAAAAGATTGTTTTTGTCTGTTATTTTTATTTTCTTCAGCCCACTATTTTTTATCATGAATTTAGAAATACATAAATAAATAAATAAAATTAAGGACACACAGGAGGGATCTCTCCCTGCTGCAATGAATGGTGTCACCTTAGCTAGTCAACACAGAGTGAGGTATTTTTTATGTCCATACTTAAACTCCTTGGTGTTAACTGCATTAACTGAAAAATCATCCGACACTGCACAGTTTAGAGCCCTGTGATGTCACTGGTCACAGATTTTATCATTACATTTTTTTACTCCATTGGTTCAGAGTAGTGTTATAATGGGAATGGATGTTTACTGTACTGAGGGGCAACTCCTAATGCAGCAGAGCCTCAGGGAATGTGCCTATTCTTCAAACTTTATTGTAAATATACCCATGATTAAAAAGCCACCTTAGACTAATACAAATCTACACCACCTTTTTTGTCATTCTGCAGTCACAGTAAAGAAGAAGAGTGACATCAGGAAATCCTCGCTAGGGTTAAGGTCTTTACTTATTTACTTATTTAGACCACACAGCAGACGTTTACAGATGGTGAAGATTTTCGACATTTTAAGGCCATAGAGAACAGGGGTGAAGAGAGGCTGACATGTGAGGAAATACAGTGACAATAAGATGTTTACAATATTAGGAACGCTGCTCATGTCAAACCTACTCTGTACAATTTGGAAGCAGCAGCCAAAGAAGAAGTTGATGAGTGAGGCCAGGTGAGGAGAGCAGGTGCTGAGAGCCTTCTGTCTGGTCTGTTTACAGCCAGAGAAACAGATCTTTAAAATCCTCATGTAGGTGAAGAGGATGAGAATAAGTGGCAGAACAACAGAGACGAACATGTAGAGCAGTCCAAAGATGTTGTTGACTCTAGTGTTGACACACGCCAGCTTGGCAATGGCCCAGTTTCCACAGTAAACTTTGTAGATGACATTTCCACACAGAGGTAGAGTCACAGTCAACATGACAATGACAACTACTGTAATGAGGGGAATCAGCCAGGTCAGAGCGATAAGAAGAGCTACCTTCTTACTTGTCATGTGTACATTATACTGCAGCGGGCAACAGATGGCCAGGTAGCGGTCGTAGGACATGACGGCGAGGCAAAAAAACTCAATGGTGGCATAAGTATAGATACAGTAGATCTGCAGGAAACAGAATTCAGTGGAGATGGTGTGAACATCAGTGAGCACCTGGATCAGTAGGAGTGGAAACAGAGCTGTGCTTCCCCACAGTTCATTCACAAACAGGCTGCACAGGAAAAGGTACATACGTAGGTTCATGTAGACTCCTGTTCATACAGATGACAACAATCAACAGCAGGTTGGAGACAATGATCAACACATACAGACACAGAATCAACAGGAAGATCAGGTGTTTGAAGAGTCCGGTGTCAGAGTAGGCAGCCAGAGTGAAATGTGACACCTGAGAGGAGTTCAACATCATCTTCATCACTTTCATTCCCAGTTACTACTGGAAATTTTTCTATAGCTGCAAATGTTCAATAACAATGCGATAATTTGTTTGGTTTTTAAACGACATATACCGATATCACTTATGACATATCATAAGTGATATCGGTATATGTCGTCTGCAATATTAGGATGTGTCACAACCTAACTGACACCTGATCAGATGAAACTTTGTGATGTGTTAAAGATCCAGGCTGCAGTCAGATCTGCCAATGTCACAGGAGTGAGATACTGTTCTACACACAGTGAAGCAGTAAATTACAAATACATTTATATTTTAGTAATGTTACAGCTTAGTAATGTAAACCTCAGCACACATATTTAAAACAGGTAAAAAACCATAGCTGATACCGTCTTTATCAAATTCCCTCCTTCACTGCATCATGTCCATCTCTGAACCTCAACCACATTGTTTCATTCATTTATGTAGCTGTAAAGTCATGACATGACTGGGACGTTGCCTATTCTTTATCCAATACAGTTATTGTGGGCGGAGCTACATGGTTGACGTGGTGATGCTGACAGTGATTGAGAGAAAATGTACACACTTGGTGTTTATTGATGGAACTGTCATTAAGTTTATTTAAAAATTAGGGGTGTGTATGGGCACAAATCTGCTGATATGATAAGTATAACAATACGGGGCAATAATAGTACGATATTATAGGCACATTGATGTTGAGTTTTTTTTATAACAATTTAACTGTAGGAAAACTGTCAGCATAGTAAACACACAATGCTGCTACATCTTAACATCAGGTTACTAAAGTTGGAACAGGGATCTACAGTTGGAATCACTAGAGAAGAAATAAAATGGACCAACACCATGAATATTTGCCTGTTAATTGTTAAAAAAAAAGCTAATAACGTGAAGCAAAATATTGCAATATTTCAATATTTTCTTACACCCTAATATAAAAAAAGAACACAGCATGTACTTTGTACTAACTTGTTGCACTGACTCACTCACAGAAGGACACAAAAAGGTGTTTCAGATCCAGGTGTGTATCTCTCTGTCCTGGAAAAAAAACCCTTAAACCCACACGGGCCTTCACACCTTGCTGCACCCTGCCTATCCAAACTGTAGGCCAAGGGCCACATCCAGCCCAGACACAACCTTAGAGAGGCCGAGTTTGTGTTCATTAAAGAAACGTGGAGAGAAACAGTTCACAGTTCTGTTGTCAGGCCGGTGGAAAAGTCTAGATTAAATTAAACTAGTGCAATCTTGGAGCACATCATGTACATCACTACTTCATACAACTGTTTCCTCCCAATTTAGAAATGTTATGTTTGCACACAGCTGCTGCTGCTACACAATAATTTAATTTGTCATTTTTCATCTCCAGCGCCTAAGAACATGTTAAAAAAACAAGTGAAACGATGAATGAAAAAGAAACAACTCTGTAAATAACTTAAAAATAAATATAACATATGTAAAAGTAAAAAATGTACAATTAAAGTCCCTCCCCCGGTGTGATGTCAGGCTGGTGTGGACCACCCACTAAGCAGTGACACTAAGAGTGAGAGCAGCAGCAGATCAGATCAGTCAGGAATCTGAGCATGATCATGATGATGTCACATGTCCTTTAATTTTCCTCAGCTGTAATTCATGTGTTGTTAATTTCTAAAGAGGTGAAAACACTGACTCTAATTTTTAACCGATTTCGCTCAATTTATGTAGTTTTTCATCAGCAGTTTGACATTTGGTAAATAGTGTACAAATACTGCTGGATTATAATCTGCTCTTCTGTAGTTTGAGGCTCTGATCTTTCCTAATTGCAGATTCATGGGATTAATGACAGCTTTAACTGGTTCAGTGTTTGTCTTAATGAGTGTTTCTGGTGTTGTTTAAATGAGAAACTAAGAACTTAATTTTCTCTAAAAAGTAATCATATAAACAGATTTGAGATTGATTTTCTTCTTTATGTGTTCTGACTATTATTAATATATTTCTAACTGTAGTGTGAGTATGTTGCAGTGTTTGAGCTTCTGTGGGTCTGTGGGATTATAAAGATGCTGGTGAACTCCTCTCAGGTGTCATATTTTACTCTGGCTGCCTACTGTGACCTGGGCCTGGTCAAATATGTGATCTTTGTGTTTGTTCTGTGTTTATATGTTTCCATCATTGTCTCCAACCTGCTGTTGATTGTTGTCATCTGTATGAACAGGAGTCTACATGAACCTATGTACCTGTTCCTATGCAGCCTGTTTATGAATGAACTGTGGGGAAGCACAGGTTTGTTTCCACTTTTGCTGCTCCACATTCTCGCCGACGTTCACAATGTGTCCTCCGCCTTCTGCTTTCTGCAGAACTTCTGTTTGTATTCATACGGTGGCGCAGAGTATTTGATCTTGGCCGTCATGTCCTACGACCGGTACCTGGCCATCTGCCGCCCTTTGCAGTACCACACGCAGATGACAATAAACCGAATCTTCACTCTCATTGGGGTCACATGGTTCTGCCCTCTGCTGCTGTGTCTAGTGATGACCTCTCTCAGTAACTCCCTAACGTTGTGTGGGAACATCATCAAAAAGGTATACTGTGACAACTACTCCATTGTAAAGCTGTCGTGTGAAGACACAACTAGCAACAACATCTACGGCTTGTTTGTGACGTGCTGCTCCATCTTCTGTCCTCTTGTCCTGATCTTCTTCTCATACGTGAAAATTCTGAAGATCTGTTTCTCTGGCTGTAAACAGAGCAGACAGAAGGCTCTCAACACCTGCTCTCCTCACCTGGCCTCACTCATCAACTTCTCCTGTGGGGCCTGTTTTGAAATCATGCAGAGCAGGTTTGATATGAAAAATCTCTCCAACATGATGAGGATTTTCCTGTCTCTGTACTGGCTGACATGTCAGCCACTGCTGAATCCTCTGCTCTATGGTCTGAACTTGTCCAAGATAAGAAACCTGTGTAAAAGTCTGGTCTCGGCTTAAACCACACATCGTGGTGAATGTGTTTCTTCTTTGATGAGCTGATGTCTCACTTCTCAAGATGGCTTAGATTTTCTGCTAGTTTGCATTGATTGTACTGAAAAAAGAATTCTGTTACCAAAGATACAACCATTTGTCATCATTGTTTCATGACATTTTTTCCCTTTTCATAGTTTTTAATATGTTTAGTTTTACTGGTTTAAATAGGTGTTTGCTCACTTACACAGAAGGCAGAAGGCAGTTAGGGCTGGGGATTGAACACTTACAAAAGCACTAACCACTCTTCCATTGTATTGCCAACAGGAAAAGCACAGTTTATTTAAATTGTTTCAAAGTAATAAAAGCCACAAAGACAGCACTACAGTCTGACCATTTATTTAAGCTGTGATTTTTCTTCACACTCATCTCTTCCAGCTGCAGCATCATTATATAAACAAGCTGTAAAATACAGAGAGACATCTAACAAAACTAATGAATGTCTACAACAAACACCAGAGAATCTAGGCAACCAACTATAACCACTGTTGTTGGTCCATAGTATTATCCACAACAGGTCTCCAAGTCACTTGACCTACAGGTCACTACTGACATCATCATCCCATCGGAGAGCCACATCGGCAACTGAACATTACAAAAATACAATAACAGCACCGTCGGTCAGAGTGTCACGTGACTGTGAGGTCACAGAGTGGGCATGTCATCCAGCAGGTGACAGTTAAAGGCAGCAGCAGGGTAGTGTGTGTTCAGTCACAGTCCCAGTGTGTGACAGTGACAGTGTGTGTTATCCACGTGTAGATGTGTGTCCGTGATGACTGTTGATTAGCATGAGAATATGTAGCGAACAGAAATTATAATATTTAGGTGTTTTCATATTTAAATTAATTTAAACCTACTATTTCAATGAGTTAATGTGTAGGAAAGTTCTAAAAGAATAACTTATGTGTCCTATGCTGCGCAATCCTGATATAGATTTTTTTTAATACAAAGCTTAAACAGTTAGAAATGCTTTTGCTACACAATCATTGTTAGTTTTCGCTGAAGAAAGAAACAACAACAAAAACAAATGCACACCTTTTGAGTGAGTGACACGAACCTGGATGTGTGTTTTCTATCATCTGAAATGTGTTTCTGTGTGTGACTGTTGTTGCTGTACAGCAGAGACGATGAAGATCCTGTTAAACTCCACTCAGGTGTCTTATTTCACCCTAGGAGGCTACAGTGATACAGGAATCCTAAAATACCTGTATTTTATGTTGGTCTTTATTTTTTATGTTTCCATCATTGTCTCCAACGTGCTGTTGATTGTTGTCATCTGTATGAACAGGAGTCTACATGAACCTATGTACCTGTTTCTGTGCAGCCTGTTTGTTGGTGAACTGTATGGAGCCACATCTTTGTTTCCACTCTTACTTATCCAGATTCTTGCTGATGTCAACACTGTCTCTGCATCCTACTGCCTGCTGCAGGTTTTCTGCCTCTACTCCTACGGCGGTGTGGAGTTCTTTACCTTGGCTATGATGTCTTACGACCGTTACCTGGCCATCTGTCACCCTTTGCAGTACAACACACGCATGACGTCCTCTAAGACCCTCGGTCTAATTGCCCTATGCTGGATTTATCCATTCCTGAACAACATCCTCATTGTGTACGGTCTGACTGCTCCTCTGCAGCTCTGCAGCAATGTCATTAACAAAATTTACTGCGACAACTTCTACATCGTCAGATTAGCCTGCTCCGACACCACCGTCAACAACATCTTTGGCCTGACTCACATGTTCACCGTCATCTTCAGCCTCATCCTGCTGGTCCTTTACACCTACATGCGGATTCTGAAGGTCTGTTTGTCTGGATCCAAACACGCCAGGCAAAAGGCCTTAAACACTTGCCTTCCTCATCTGGCCTCGTTGTTCAACTTCTCCTGTGGAGCCTTCTTTGAGATCGTTCAGAGCAGGTTTGACCTGAGTCATTTACCCACCACTGCAAGGATCATTCTGTCAATATACTGGCTCACGTGTCAGCCCCTCATCAACCCTATGGTCTATGGTCTCCAACTGTCCAAGATACGTATCATTTACAAAAACCTGCTGTTTGGCACAAAAATGTGAAGGTTTGGGGTTTTAATCTGTTCTATTCACTGATAAAGGGCAAAAAAAAACAATCCTTTGAGGCAGGGAGCTGTGTGTGAATAATGTCCAGACATAAAAACTGCAAACAAAAAAAAAAGGCAAAACAGAGATAATGTGATGTAAATTACATTTTAAAGTAATAAAGTTTTATGTTGATCAATCATTTATATATATGTATAAATATGTATTGTATTTTCTGGTTTCTATGGCTAAATAATGAATTGATTAACTTATTAAACCATTCACTCATTCATTTTTTACTCTTCTGCAGGTAAAATCTAGTTTCTCCTGGACATTGAAAAAATAACATAAAGTGGAGATCACAATAACAATTAGAATAATTATACCTTTTATAAAGCTGTGCTCGTGCAATCAAAGGGAAACCCTGTAGGAGCCCTACTGTTCCAGTTGAGGTCCTATTTCTGTGATGAATACCTCGGCTTGTATAAGGACAATAACAGTCATAAACTTAAGTCCATTATCCTGGACCACATCTGACCAGAACTCAACCAAAAGCAGCGACTCAGTAAGGCCTTACTGCTTGACTCATGACCTGTTAGACTGACCTTAAGCTTAGACACTTGGATCTGTGGCTCTATCTTTAACTACTGTGAACAGAAGTAGTGACACTACGTTGAATTCCAGCCCCAACTGTTAACAGACTTCCCAGAAAATACCGCAAGACTCAAATAGAGCCTAACTTCAGTCCACGACAGTCATTCAGTGGTAAACAGACCCACAGCTTGTAACATATACAAAGATCAGCTCATGTTTGGTATTGGCAACTTCTTAAAATATTCAAATGGACTCCCTACTATACATCAGTGTAGTTGTAATGAATACATGATCAAAATTCAGAACCTATGTACTACAGAATACATAATTCTACATACATAAGGCACTTTGGTAGTACTTGTTAAAATCTATTTTTTTCAGACATTGTTCCACGGTGATGGATTAAAAGCAGAGGTTTCGTTGTATCCCCATATTACAATGACAATAAAGAACATAAAATAAAATGTGTGTGTATTGTGTAAACATGCATATCTTTAATGTCTGAATTACATTTTTATTACCTTTTATTTCCTTCTTATAAATATTATCTTTATTGGCATCTTGGCACTGTAAACCTTTTATTCTCCTTTAAATTGTTAGTTTTGTTTTCTCTTGCTATAGTGTTGATATTTTCTTATTTATATTTAAACATACACAGTATATTTATACTCTGCCCGTGTTTCCGGTGGCCCTACCTGACTTCCCCGGAGAAATGGCTGGCGTTGTTTTTACTTTGTCCTGTTTTTTCACCCTCATTGTCGACCGCAGCAGCAGAAACACTTAAAATTTAACCAAAATTAACATTGAGTAAACACAATATATAAATATAATAATAATACTTAGGTATAGAACACGAACACACCTGTAGCTCCTTCAGTTAGTCTCCAAACTTTCCTCATTAACATTTACGTGGCGTTGTTTTGAAAAACGTATTAAAACTTATTAACTTGACGTATTTGACGGCGTCGTTGAGGTACTTCCTCAAACATTTTCTTATTACATATTCATAAATAAATACTTTATTTACACCTTATTGTTAAATGGTCAGCTAACACCTCCCGCACAACAGCTAAAGCCGAGGTCGACGCCCCAGGGAGGGTCTTACGTCATCAGGCTGCAGCGACGCGCCGTTGGGTTGCCAGGTCATAGACGAAGAAACAATGCCTTTAAAACTGTTTTTACTCTAATAATATAAATATAAATATAAATATAAATATAAATATAAATATAAATATAAATATAAATATAAATATAAATAAATTGTAATTAGTTTTACTACTACTGAGTACCTGAACATATTCATGTATTTATGTGTGATAAACACAACGGAATGTCACAAGGGTACCTTACATTAGGGTATAATCCTAGAAATAAAACTCTGTGTGTGTGTGTGTGTGCGTGCGTGCGTGTGTGTGCAGATGTAGGCGTCATCGACAGTTTCCCATTAAAAAGAAGTGTACACACTTTCTCCACAGACTGTTTGTCTGTGTGCGTGTGTGAATAACCTGTGCTTTATGCTAAACAAGATAGGATTTATAGCCAGATGTGTTGTATGTGAGCGGTTTCCCTCAGTAAGTGAATGAAGAGGATGAGGAAGAAAATGAAGACAATGTCAAACTCCTCTCAAGTGTCCTTCTTTATCCTTACAGCTTATTCTGACCCTGGACTCTTCAAATACCTGATCTTCCTGTTGATTCTGTGTCTGTATGTGTTGATCATTGTCTCCAACCTGCTGTTGATTGTTGTCATCTGTATGAACAGGAGTCTCCATGAACCTATGTACCTGTTCCTGTGCAGCCTGTTTGTGAATGAACTGTATGGATCCACAGGTCTGTTTCCAGCTCTGCTCTTTTACATCCTGTCCAACGTTCACAACATCTCCACCTTCTTCTGCTTCCTGCAGATCTATACTATTCATTTCTATGGCAGTGTTGAGTTTTTTACCTTAGGTGTGATGTCGTATGATAAGTACCTGGCCATCTGTTTCCCGTTGCAGTACAAAAGACTCATGACGAGTGGAAGAGTCTCCTTACTCGTGGCCTTTGTGTGGCTGTACAGCGTGTTGGCGACCGTGGCCATGCTGGTGCTGAGTGCCCCCCTGCAGCTGTGTGGCAACACCATTGACAAAGTCTACTGCGATAATTACTCTATCGTGAAGCTGGCCTGCTTTGACATCAGCATTAACAATATTTATGGCATTGTTTACATGTTCTCTGTCATCATGTTGGTCTTCC